TTTTTTTTTTTTTTTTTTTTTCTTTTGAGAAAATTGGTATCCAAGAATGCACAAAGTCCCCTAAGGTTTAACTCGGTATAATAAGCAGGCCATGCTATGCCCATGGATATTAGGAGAATGTCAAAATAAGCGCAAACATATTATAGGCAGGAGTAATTATCCTACCAGTATACTGCTATAGAGTTCTCTTCGTATGTCAACATCACACTTGTTTATGCTCTCAACGACCTGGAAAATTTAAGACAGATAATTCATGGTAGAATCAATGGGAAAACCAAGAAATAGCTTCGACCGAAACAATAGGCATATTTAGAGAGAATCTGTTAACCATTTGTGGCAGACCACGAGCAGATGAAGCAATCTCTGCAGAACTTTCCATACCAGGTATAGTCTGAAATGAAAAAATAGTAGACACAAATACAGAAAATTAAGTTTTTGTGTAAGTGATTGTTAAGCAGTAATAAGTTTAGCAAAGAGCAGACTGTAAAAGAGTAAAAGATTACTATGTAAGCTACAAAAGGTAACCTCCATAGTCCATATGTATCATAAACATGGGGCGAACAAATAAGCACAAAGAAGAAAGCAATGTAAAGTGCATCAAAGGTTCAGTGTTCCCTAAAATTAGGATGGATAAAAACATCCAAAATCATGGCCTTCTTTTCTCCAACCTTTTTTATGATCCTCCCAAGCTACCTCATTGCAACATGCAAAGTAAAAGGTGTCTACAATGAGAAACTTCATAAAGTTCTTCATGGGTCACACAACTAAACCACATATTTTACTCACTTATTTAAAACAAATTTTGCATATTATATGTACACAGCAATAGTTGATGGGTCCCAAGGAACATGAAAAAGAAGCTCTTTTAAACAAAGACGCATTTCCCAAGAATCTTTTTTGTGTTTTACCACAATGGAGAAAGCTCAGAAATATGAGCTCCATTGCTTATGCTGGATGCTCTAATAATATAAAATTGTAATTTCATTTTTCAAAAGTATTTCATGGTTTATTCGTTAAGGAAGCTGATGATAAAGCATTCTCCAGAAAGTGTGTATCAAATCGAATATATTTCAGGAACGTCAGCGGATAAAAACTGGAAATCACAATATATTTTATGGTAACCGCTAAACAATTACAATACATAGAGAAATAACTCGTAAGTCAAGAAAATGAGAAGCCTTGCAAATAAAACCTCCAGCACCCAACATATATAAAGAGTATTTACAGATATTACATTATTAGTGTTATAAAAATACATCACAATATGACTCAAGTGCTATAGTTACTTGGATTAACAAGAAGAAACCGGACCTGTACTAGAGACGGATTAAATAATACATCAGGAATCTTGAATCTGTCAGCACCAATTTCAATTGTCCTACATCATTTAAAAAAAAAATAATAAATAAATTAGAAAGCATCCGAGTCTGATATGAGTTGCAGCAATATTTCAATATTCATTATATTTCATTTACGCTGGATAACAGTAGTTTACAATGGTAATTCTAATTTTATTATGCAGATAACTGTAGTCTAATCTAGGAATTATATTCCATCTCACAGAATACTAAGTATGACCAATGCAAAAGAATAATAATAATAATAATAATAATAATAATAATAATAATAATAATAATAATAATAATAATAATAATAATAATAATAATAATAATAATAATAATATTCCCTCACCCTCAAAGTTAGAGTCAGCCTCAGCCAAAAGAAAAAAGAAAAAGAAAAAAAAAAAGAAAAGAAAGAAAGGTACATCTTCCCAAACCATAGGATAGTAGTTGGCACATACATGAACCATACTGGCTGAATGGAATATTATATGAATGGATACACAATGCTACGAATCTATTCAAATGCTTAATCTCTCAAATAGAGATGAAAAGGAACAAAAAAATAATTTCACAAAGACACTTAGGGGGTGATTGTTTATAAATTGAATAGTAAAAAAATCGATTAAAACTCAAATTTAACTCAACTTTAACTCAATTCCACTATCTTTAATATTATCAATATAATTAAATAATATCAACCAATCATTATTACACATCACATCAACTTTAATTCACTATTCATCTACTCACATAACTCTAACTAACTATCAATTCCAATCATTTTTTCCATACTTTACATCAAATCAACTTTAATTATTTTATTTAAATATTATTTTAATATATTCACTAACAACTAACCATACCACTTTTTTTCAAAATTAACTATAATTAAGAAACAACCAAATAAGAACCAATCCAATCCATAAACAATCACACCCTTACTGTCCATCAGGAAGCTCATATGAGGTCATTGGGATGTTTGAATACGACAAATCTGCACCCAAAAAAGGAAATATCAGGACAGAGAGAAACAAAGCATCAGTTAAGCTACACAATCAAACGATTGTTCATTCTAAATAATTCCGCAACAAAACTGGGTAGTAAATTTAACTAAATGAAAATCATTAGACGTTATTGTATTCTTGATTGTTTTCTTCCACTGCAGATAGGTGTTGTGCTGCTCATTATACAATAAGAAACATTCGTCTCCAACATATTACTTTCTTCCTTTTCTCTCTGACAGTACATAATCAACCAAATACCAAATTAGCCAGTTACAAAAAAACATAAATAAATCTAGCTAAAACAACAGGCAGTAAGTTCCTTAACAAGATTTTCACTTAGA